ATATGCAACATAATACTTACCAAATGTTTGTTTTGTTTTGACTTTTCTGACAGTGTATCCACCTTTCTTCTGTTTAGGGTAGATTATCTTGAACATTTTCTCCCCATCAGATGTCATGGCTTGTTCTCTTCTCACATTTTCATTGTGGTGAAGTGCAGCTAGAATCACCCTATTCAAAGAGATGCAACAATATTTAAACTTTCCTGATTAAGTATCATCAATATCTTAAGAATTAAGACTGGCTGCCTAAATCTTTTACATACTCATTTTAACATATCTTACATCTAGCTACAACACTAAATCTCTTTTAACATTGCAATATTCACCACAGGAGTTTTGAGACAGGTAGACTACTAGTGAATAATGATATTTCCAAAACCTGTTGATGATGTTAGATCTTGAGACAGATATACATATACGATCAACTTGTCTGTACAAATTGATGTCTAAAGAAATAATAGTCTTATGAGAATCATGTGATCATATACCTGCACAACATTCCATTGAATGAAAAGCCATGCATTTTAGGGGCAAACTGGTTAACTGTTGAGTGGTACCCTTCTAGTTCTGAAGTTTGGTGATGTGTTGATAGCATGGGAATGTCCTTTTTCATTTGTGGTGATGTCAACATCAGTTCTAGCTTCTCCATTACTTTACTCTCTGAAAAGTGAAAGTGAGGATTTCAAATGATGAAGTAAAAATATAATATGGGATCATAAGGAATTTAGAACACGAATATTAATTCCATGCTAAGAACAAGAAACTAAAGATACCATTTTCCTGGATGTGCTTTTCATTCAGGTGAAAAATGTCATTGCTAAAGAAATTAGGCACTTAAAATGTTTTTAAGCAAGTGATAAATGTCATTCGTAATTTAGTTATGATTTGAATTATTGATACGTCACCAATTTCGAACCAAATGAATAAGTAAGCAAGTTAAAGGTAGGATACACAATAATTGAGTCAATGCCATAACAGGAAAAATACCTGGTTTTATCCATTTCTTCTTCCTTTCCTGTGTTCTCAAGTCATCATGCAGACAGCAAGGAAACAGATCACCATGACCATCATGGATATTTTGGACATGGTTTACTACAGAAACCCACTTCTGGTACATCAAAGCGCCATCTGCTGAGGGCGTTGATGCAGGAACCCAGTATAAGTGATTGGTTAAACTTCTTATCCAGCTTTCAAGTTCACCACAATCTCTTTCTTTTGACAGTGCCAACAACTTCTTCTTCAAACCTAAAGAATATTTCATATGCATTTTAATACAAAACCTATTATATTTTAACATCAAAAATTATTCTATACTTTAAATTGAGTTGTGTGTTCATACATTTAATTCCATTTGATATTTATTTAGTCCTTAGGACATGGTCTACAAAGTATCTGAAGTAAAGCCCTTAGCAAAACAAAACAAACTGAAATCAAACTATTTACTACGGTGACTGTTAATACTGATTGGGCTTCTTGTTTTGTTTATGCTAAACACAAACACTTAAAGAAAATGCAATACCTTTTGCAACATGCCATACATCAACGCAGTGATTGGTCTCTGTCATGTTCTCCCTCACCCACTTTCTGATCTGGACATGTCGGTCGGTGACTAGGGTATCTATGTTGATCCCATGGCGTTTTAGATTGTCCACGCTCCGTATTAACCCTTCCTTTTCCATGTTGACACTATGTTTGACTTCATTGCTCTGAAATTGATCAAAATCTTAACATTACACAATGTACCAAAATTAACATAACTCATGTTCTGGAAAGTACATGTAGATTGTAGATATATATATATATATATATATATATATATTGAAATTGTTTCTGTATGTATTCATGACCACATTTTCTATCAGCAGTTTCTACATATAAATTTACATAAAATTAACGGGGGCCACAGTCGTCCATTGGTTAAGCCTGGTCTCAGAAATTGTGGAATATATAATGAGTGGTTTTTTTTTTTTTTTTTTTTTAAATTTTTACGATTAGAAATACCAACCTGAACTAACTGTATATCTACGACTGTCCCTCTGTCCAAATCCATCAGTGAATAACTGCAAAACTTAGCACAGTGTCCGGGGGTATCGCATCGACCATCTCCTCCTATACAAATGTCATTGTCACTTTCGCACATTTCTGCAAAATATTGCACTTGTTTTTCTGTCCACATCCTTAGAATTGTAGGCTGTAAATAATGTCGCTGATGCTTGAAAAACGTGTCATGGCATATTACCGGGATGTCCATAAAGTTAAAAATTCTTAGAGTCTTTGAGGGCAACGATCCAGAAAATAAAATGCTGGCAGACAGCTGGACATTTCCTCTTGGAAGGGATCCCACCATTGACTGGCTTCTCCATTTAAAGGTCCTACCACACATGTCACATTCTTGATGCACACAACACATGGTACCGATCATTCGTGTCACTTCTCCTTGGCATGGTGATAAACAGTGTCTACATTTATCAAAAAGTTCAAGCAGTTTGCTTTCTTCAATTATGAGGAGTCTGTCTCTGCTCTGTCCACTGTGTAGCACATCTCTGCAATACATAAATGTTCATGACATTCTACATACATAATTGCCATAATATGAATGAGGGCACTATGACATGATATTATTATAGAGAAATGATATAAGCAAGACTGAGGTTAGGGTTCTATTCCATCTTGGGACAACACCGTTAGATCAAAGTGCCATCCAAAAAGGCAATGCAATGATGTTTTAGCACACAATGGATTGATATGACTGAGAAAGCATGCCATATCAAAGTCCCGAAACACAAGCCAGAAAGTATCAAAATAAATTATTTTTCTCTGCAAAATGTCAGACATGTTACAACACATACTCATTTTCTTCCATATCTAACTCTGTGTCCGAGTCGTCTGGACCAGAATCCGGATGATAGGAGTCGTCTAGATCTTTACTGTTGGTCTTGAAAAGGTCTAGATGATCTTCGTACTCACTATCACTTTCCAAGTTGGTTTCTTCATCTTTCTCCACCACTGGCTTTAGAAGATTACATTGAACTTCTGCATGTCTCACCTTTGGTCTTGGAGCATGAGTTTGACATCCTATAAGATAAAACAAAATCACAATGCATTAATGCAAGTAAAAATGTCTTGTGATTTATTCAAATATTGAATGAATGGAATAGTAATTTTAAAATGTTGTAATTAGGACAAGTACTTAAAACAGTTTACAGCTGTATTGTACCAACTGGTAATACTCTATTTTTTCATACAGTTATGACTTTTCAAAATGTCACAATCTTGCAGGTCACATGACGAGACTTACAGACCCTATTGACATGCATAAGCAGGTTACAATTTACCTTTCTCCACTGCATTGGGGGCCACTTGTATCCTGACCGTTTTCCTCTTGGGTGGTTTCAGGGAGAGCTGCGTGCCACAGGTTTTTGTCTTTGATGGTGTTTCCTGTAATAGAAACTTTTCTTGTACACGGTAGTTATGATGTACATTAACAGTTGAACCTCCATAACCTATGTATATGTAAGGTGGGAAAAAAAGTATGTTCCTTGACCAACCTTACAAGAGCCCAACAGATGCCCATGGCGATGTTTGACACACAAGATCAGAGACCATTTCACTATTTATGTTGTTTGAAACATGTAGTTTGCTGTGACATATGGAACATTCTGTACATAAAGTTTGGAGTTCCTACATATATGTAAAACAGTGTTGTAAATATGGTGCGGACAAAGAAAAACTATAAAGGGCAATAACTGTAAATCTGGTTTTATACATAACTTTTATAAGAGCAACAACCTTGACTTTTACAGTGCATGTGTGAAAACCTGAATTAAAAGTTTAGGGTCCGTATGGTGACAGTAAACTCGCATATAATTTTTTTGGCCTTATGAGTATCATTTTTAGTACCTTGAAATTGCAGGAGAAATAATCATGGTCATTTCTTGTCTGTACATGTTCCTCTGGCAATTCCATAACCTCATCACTGGCTGAAACATCAGGATCTTCCTCCACCTGAGTGTCTGTGGATACCGTGGAACTCTCTTTCAAACATTGCTCGACTATCTATAAAAAAAAATCAAATTTATCATACAAATAATGTACATGTAGTCACAGTGTAGCTGTTTAATACGTACATTTAAGTTAAAACTGAAGATACCTCGCATACACTGAAACATTTACTGGGAAAAGGTTTATTAAATGCTAAATAGGAGTATTGTCCACTAAGGAAGGCTGCATTACTCATTACCTTTTCTACTCAGATACTACTATAACTTATATGATATACATAGGCCCTAGATCTTCATGTATTATGTAATAATTACCCTTCTGTTCTCTCTTTTTGCGAAAGCAGTCCGTGGTCTTTTGACAGGCGTTTCCTCTACGTTGGTGCAGCCTTTGTTGATCGTTGGCACAGCATCTTTTATTAGCGTTTTCTTTTTCGGTGGTGTACGTCCCATTGATTGAAGAAATCTGTACTGCATCGGGTAGCAGTCCTCACCGAAATGTTCCGAACACAAAACTGAATGTTTTGTTGGCCCGTCCCACAAATCCCTTTCCCTCCGCACAAATGCAGTCCAAACTTTGCATATTTCCGGTCTGTCTAATGGGAAAAAATGAAGTGAAACACCGTCTAAAGTGGTGTTTCCACATCCATACGCTACACATCTCTTCCCACGTGAACGTTTGTTGGTCGGAGTCGCTTCCATAGTTAAGCTAATACTTCGAATTTCGCACGTTTTGAATGAAAATAAATATCACTTGATACGCACAAATATGGTAGGATATAAATACAGGACGAGAAGTATGAAGATTAAACAACCAAACGTCTGTTTCACATATTTTCGACAGTCTACACGCGAAAGTTACCTGGCATGGCGGGTCGTCCCAAATGCTACCCTTGTGACGTCACGAGCAAATAGAGCCTCGATTTGATGTGAGAGCGGTTTATTCAAAGGTATGTTTTTCGGTTTTTGCCGTAAAGCATAAAAACTATAAAACTGAAATGATTTTTTTATATATATTTATGAACGTCTATATACATACCAATTAACAACTATAAATAAACATGTAATCTAGGTACACTTTAACCTTTCTTTTTTTGTTGAGTGTATGTAATATATGACATCAGCTGCCAACGTATTAATGATTATTATTTATGTTTATGTCATAACTTGATTTTTTAAAATTTTATTTATTCATTTATGTTTTTTTTACTTGGCTGTTTTTATTTCTATGTTAATTATTCCCTGTAACAATGAAAAGTTTTGCTTTCTTATTACTCTCCAAGGAGAAGTAACTTAATGGCAGACATATGTTCGTTTCCTTCATTTCTGTTATTATTTTGTACATTGTATATAAATCCGGATAAGTTGACCCAAACTTGTGATTGGACAACAGATTATATGTTGAAGCAATAAATGGCGACAATAGAAATCTTACCCTTCTCTTTTATGCCACCAGAAATAGCGACATATATGTTAATAACAAATTACAAGTCTATGTCCACTAAAAGATTACAGGTTAACCTTGAGCAACCAATACAGTTTGTTATATCAGTTGCCAACACGACCAAATATTGATCTCTTATCTAGATACCCCGCCACGTACTTGTGCTAGTGTATGTAAGGCGGTGACAAAGTATTTTTGCCTACGTACACAAAATTTACCAACCCTGAATTTTCTAGATAACGATATCAAAACAAATATAGGGATTGTATTATATGTGTCATGTATCTGGGGTATTCGTCAAAACAAACTTGTATAAAGTAATAATCAAAATCATATTGAAAATGAAACAAGATTGTACAAAAGACACACACGTGAATAGCACCTTTTAATAATTTAGTAGAGACAAACAATGAATTATAATGCATCATATAGCTATTTCGTCCGTCTAGGACTCGTCGGTGATGCTAAAGGCCTAAATGATGAAACCTAGGATGCCACTGAAGAATATCATAAAATCTACTATAACGTCGCTTTAGTATGAAATGTTTCCTTTCAAGAATAGTGGCATGGGAAGCGTGACAGAAGAAACTCCATATAACAGTTTGATAGAAAATCTGAGATTTATTCTTCGGATTAGATCATCACTTCTCTGGGATTTGTATAAAAACATAATTGTTTTTATTTTTTCTCATATTCCATTTACATAGAACGGGAGCTACGCTACAGTTTGGGTTTGTACAAAAGACACACGAGTGAAGAGTACAATTTAACTCGTCAGTGATGTTACATCATACAGCTGTTTTTCATCCTCCTAGAACTCGTCAGTGATGTTACATCATACAGCTGTTTTTCATCCTCCTAGAACTCGTCAGTGATGTTACATCATACAGCTGTTTCATCTTCCTAAAACTCGTCAGTGATGTTACATCTTACAGCTGTTTCATCCTCCTAAAGCTCCTCAGCAATGTTACATCTTACAGCTGTTTCATCCTCCTAGAACTCCCCAATGATGTTACATCATACAGCTGTTTTTCATCCTCCTAGAACTCGCCAATGATGTTACATCATACAGCAGTTTCATCTTCCTAAAACTCGTCAGTGATGTTACATCTTACAGCTGTTTCATCCTCCTAGAACTCGCCAATGATGTTACATCATACAGCTGATTTTCATCCTTCTAGAACTCGCCAATGATGTTACGTCATACAGCTGTTTCATCTTCCTAAAACTCGTCAGTGATGTTTCATGATACAGCTGTTTTTCATCCTCCCAGAACTCGTCAGTGATCCTAAGGGCATAAAAGTAAACCAAAGTGATCGAAAATAGTCCTAAATCTAGAGTAGGTTTGGCTTCTTGTCATCCCTCAATTGAGCTTTAATGATATTTTTCTTTCACTATAAAACTTCAACATTTTCCTAATTATATTTCTCCATATACTTATACAACCACTTATAAACAGTTATTATGATGAGTCTGATATATTTATCTTGTAAAAAGGCATGTAAGCAGGTAAACTAGTTCACCATATGTTTCTATCTAGAAATTTTCAGCAATATAATATTTATGGCTTCACACATGTGAATTTTGATTCCCTAGGTTGGTAAATCAGCTCGTGTCATGGCTTTTAACCAAAATTGTAGTTACGTTCTTTACGTGTCCTGTTTTATACATAATAAGTGACACTAAACTGATACTGTGTTATATTAGAACTATACTAGGATGTCTCAGCTATAAAGATAAGAATACTTGGACTTGTTATCAATTATACTACACTACAATCGTCACTTTCCAGTGCGCTTTTCGAAGGAAGATAATTCCTGTCGTCATCTGCCAACGTTTCCCCGGGATCTGATTTGGCTCCAAATCAAAATTTTAAACAACAACAACAAATATGCATTCCTTTAATTGAGTTGTTTTTGTATAACCAGAAACATTAACTTTATGATTGTATTCTTGTTCAATTAATCAAAAGCAAGTGCTATTTAATAACGAGTTATAGAAGACAGTTGTATGATAGTGTTTTACTTCCTTATTAGGTTACACTGTATGCTATTCACTTGAGTCACTTTGTAGTATACTTTGATGCCCTAAAAAATCCTGCTAATAAAATTGGCTTCATTATCAACCCAGCAACAAAACTATATCGCAAAATCTAAAAACCTGAAAATAAAGAGATCATATTATAATCTGAAACGAAAGATCAAACAACAATTAATTTTACTTCAGCATCCATTACTCGTTTTTTTTAAATTTCAATGTGACTAGTGGAGGACTATGAAAAAATGAAAGTGAAACTAAAAATCAATTCCTCGAAATGGCTAGATGTAGCTGTTTGTCTCTTTAGATAAAATGCTACGCTTAGATAATCGATTTATGCAAGTGTAGCAAACATCTACGCGTATATCTCCACTTAAAATGTAAATGTTATGTGACCGGTTAAAGTGAAACATTTAATTTAGCATTACTCACAGCTGTGTTAGATAAAGCTGAATACGTTTCGTCTCATAGGTTTCAAAATTTAGAACCGTATCTAAAACTATGGGCTTTAAAACGATATACTTGATATCTGTATTTAGTTGGAAAGCTTAAAAACCACATAACAGTTTTTCATAATTGTGGCGTTGATCTACCGAAACCCAACCTTTAAATTAAGCGTGAAAATTATATAAATGCTATAATTTTTATACTACTTGTATGTATTTTGATAACATGTTTTCTATAATTTTAATAAACTTGTCACCTTGTGATGGCCACTGTCAATTCATACTAATCTTTTTTTTTTCTGTATCTAAATCTGAATACGTTTCGTCTCATAGGTCTTTTTTTAATTTAGGATCTTAGTCAATACTGTCGAAACTTAGAAGGACGAAACAGCTTTAGGATGCAGTTTAATTTAACATTTCACACTTCTGTTTCTAATTATAAATTACTGTTGTGTAAAAGATTTTGTTTTCTTGTATGCCTTATGAATCCTTATATTTTAACTATCTCGTTATTTCATAAACATTTATATTTTGTCATATTGCATCAATTATATTTAAACTTATAATTAACGTACAAGATATTTTTGTTTTTTTCATACTCATTTTTCATGTCTATGGTTTTAGATCAACTATGTTTGGGTTATTCAGTACCTATATTGATATACTCGCGGTTGCCTGGGGTAATTGCCTATCGTTTATAGTTGATATTTTTCCAAGTCCAACTTTGATATACATGTTATATTGATTGCAAGATAACTCGATATTGATTAAGTATGCTATCAGTCTTCTGAAATTAACCGATATATATACATATGTATAAGTTACGATTTTTTTCTGAATTGATAGGCTATTGTGTATTTCCGTAAAACTTATGATTTTTTTAAAATTTCTTTGATCACATTGGATATTCCCATTTGCCTCAAAAGATCTCAACTTTTGGCCCGTAGCATCACTGACGAATAGTAGAAACACGAGACAGCTGTATGATGCAGTTTAATTCATTGTTTTGCTCTTCTGTTTTTAACCCTAATGTCTGTATCAAGTTCTTCTATCCATTTGTGTGTTATTGTGGCCCATTGAACGCACACACACACACATATATATATAAGACTTGGTATATATATATATATATTTGTGTCTCCGGAAGCTTTAAAAAGTCCTTTTGATAAAAATTAATGGGATATAAAACAATGTATCTTTATCTTTCCAAGCTGATGGAAATAATACGATTTAAATGGAAGAAATTTATAAATAAACGTATAATTATGATATTAATCAGAAGATATGATATTATCTCAAAATTTCCTATTCATTATTCTTATTATTCATATATTGTAGCTGCTATCGTATATTTATATTTTTTAAACAGAATATTACTTTTTGAGCAAAAATAGTATTGTATACGCGAGAAACGGGATTTCTGTTTTCGATTTCATCTTTGTAAGCTAAGGTGTTGTCCATGTTCCTTCCACGGCTAAATACTGATACATTGTTTCCTAAAAACTAGTGTATTTTGATATAAAATTCTACATAAATGTGTAAACATAGCTGAAGATGTTCTTGAACCTGAAAAGTAGCCTATATTCCGACAATTGCTTTCGTTGTTTCTTTGTCATTTCTAAAATTGTCTTTGTTATCGCATATATGACCATGTACAAATCAAACATCCCTAGGCTATGTGATGAGACATGATATCTTTGATTATGTGGTTGATAAACATTATGATAAGTAGAAGAACGACCACTGGCTGTGAGATATTACGCCAATCACAGACCTGATTTATGAAGGTGCGCCTTCGAGCCTAAGATACTTGCGTCCATCTTCTTATTAGGGGAGCATCAGAAATAGAATACACTTCATCATGGGTTTCTCTGAATCTTCAGTTCTCTTAAAAATCGCTCTTGTTGTATTACCTTTAGCGTTAATACTTCACATTGTTGGTTTAGCGACTCCGCATTGGAGTTCACATAGTGTTACAGAACAGGGCATAACCATTGGTGCGGTAGTAGGACTTTGGAAAGGATGTTTATCTGAAAACGGAGCAAGTCAGTGTACAAGCTACGATGATGGTATGTAATCTACTGGTCTCCAATTTTACGAATTATTGATGAATAGTCTTAACTTCATTTTAAACAAATTCGAAATAGCATGAGACCGTTTCATCTTGAATCAAATTCATATTGGTGCCATGCTGGTATTTTATGTACAGAAAATAAATCTCTCAAAACTAATATTTTTCATGAAAACATGCTCATTTTGTGTCCGCTTTACTTTTGAAGTGAAATACCTGCATATAACTATATTTGGAAACTTTAAAAAGTGAATAGTATCACTTCAAACATAGAACAATCTTTGAGATTTCTGTTTCGGAGACGTTGCAAAAGTATCTATCCCTACAATACAACAAAACAAATGCTACAGAAGGTCAGTTTCTTAGAAGCTTAAAAGTTGTGTCTTCTTTTTCGCAAGTTCCTGGTTGGTTGAATGGGTGCCGAGCGTTTGGTATAATCGGTGTGTTAGCTGTAGCTGCTGCGGCCATCTTGGAAGCGTTGTGTACAATAGCACTGTCTAAGGATACACACAAGATCGCCTTTATTTTATCAACAATCACAGCCTTTGTTGGAGGTCTGTATTAAGGTTGATCTATCACTGAAGAAAAACCTTTCAGATAAATTGTTGAAACTAAATTTCAAATAACGGTAAATAATTTATATTGTAACATAATATATTGTATCCACTGTCAGAATAGTCATTTTAATTTTCCAACAGGTAGATATCTTGGAGTATGACAATACTCTTGCATTTTTTTCGCAAATAATAGATAGGTGCTTTTTCCATGCTATTTCCAAGTGCATTTTTATTTTCTATAATGGCAGAAAGGTTTCGATCATTTTATTCAATTCGCAGGTTTAGTTTGGTGATGATATTTTAGTAATAACTTTTATTGATTTTATTTTCAATTTCCAGCTGGCAGTATTATCCTATGTGCCATCATCTGGGCTGCAAAAGCATCCGATCTATCTTCAACAGGAGACCTTGCGTGGTCGTTCGGACTCTCTATTGCTGGAGGTGTTCTCGCCGGATTAGGTGGATTGCTAGTATCTATCAATCTGTGCCAGTAATTTCGATGCCGGTTTCAACATCTTGTTAATCTAATAAAAGCATTTCCTTATGAAAGTTTGTGAACACCAGAAAAAGTGACAGCATGCAATCAGACAGTATTTGCTACGTGGGCAATTAAAGAAACATATAGCTGATTGGTGTACTCCTTTATTGTGCTAGTTTTATTGCGAATTTTACATTAGGTATATGTGTATTTTGGTATTGGATAGATTTTATAGTTATAGACAAAATATACCTTTAATTAGCTACTCAATGTGACATATCATTTTATTGTTTAATTTGAATAACAGGTTTTTTCCGTTCTTTTGGTTACTTGCACAAAGCTACATTGAAAATTACCTTAACACTATACGGGTCAATAATATCGTTCCTATTAAAGACTTCTAAATGAATAGAAATTGTTATCAGATCGTTTTGTCTTCTTTTCTATGCGCATGGCAAATCGAGAGAATAACGGCTCTCCTTACCAGGAGGAAACTGTGAAGTAAGACACGAAAGACAAGAAGAACAGAGTATGTCATTATGTCATTGTTCGTAAAATTTTAAATCAACACCACTTTTCTTAAAAGGCTTGTTTTCCCTTTTATTTCACAGCAGACTTCACCTAATTCAGTTTTTAGTTACCATATGCATTGATATATTTGGCTAAATGTCAAAGAACGACTTGTACAGCTTTTTAAAAAAATGATGATAATAAAACGGTAATAGTATTATAAAAATAAAATGTAACGCAATTGATCCGTCATACTTGCTTCATAAATATGTTTTAATAAAAACATAACAAAACTTACACTTTTTTAATGCCGACAGTAATCGGTAGCATTATCACAGAGATGATACATGCCTTTTTGAAATTATCAGGAGTTTTTTTTTTTCGAAAAAATAAACACACAGCAAAAGACAGAAGGAAAATCTGAACTGATAAATATGCACATAAATTCATTCCTATTAGTGGAATTAATTTAAACTCAAATTCTATGAAACTAAGGCAAAATACGTACAAAGCTCCTGCACATTCAATAATGATAGCCGATATAAGATAAAATGGAGATCATCAGAATTAAAATACCTCATTGAGTTTTTTTCAGAACGTTGTTATTTCATGATAAACTGTGGATAACCTATTTACTAGATTATCCACGCTATATCAGTATATGTATATATAGAGAGAGAGAATCTAGTAAGTAATATCGACGGTATGGTCCAATATTGGTACTGAATCCTAACAAACAAATGTTCGTTGGATACATATAACTTTATATCACTCTCGGTATGTTTTGCACTGTAGATACTTAGGATATACGCTAAGTGTCGACAGTACCAAACATCACGAGATTGATATCAAACATTTTGAATATTTTAATCAACATCTTCCATACCACGGTGGGTTTTTTTTTCCCCCTTACAAAGAGCCTTTTGCGGTTATCTATCGAGTGATGGTTTGAAGGGTTTAAATCTGTAAAAACATGATGGAGACAGTTGGTTACCAGTTTACTTCTTTATTCGTCAACTCCCAGCTCTCAACTGACTTATTACATATATACATACACATTATACATAAGATATCTTTGTTACTGAGATACAACCTCAGTCAATTCTTAAATTAAACCACATTTTGGATTTAATTACTCACAAAGAAATTCTATGCAAAATTAATAATACAAACATTATAAAAACAATGGGGAAAATTAGTCAATAAGGTAGAGCTACATTAACTTGGCAATGAGATGGTGATGACGGGTAATAATATCAGGAGTCTGAATTGAATATTTATAAAAATCTAGACAATATCATCAAAAGGAAAGGAAGTAATTAACCATAATGAAAATGAATAATATTTACAAGATGAAAATAAACAATTATATTTAAAAGACAAAAACTATAATCTCTGACAGCCTATATACATGTGGAGCATGGCTTTGTTTACATTTGAGTTAATCCCTCACTTTAATAGACCAACTTCCGGTTTACAACATTCATTTCCGGTTTTAGATATGGAGTTAAAAGTACTGATTGAATAGAAAAGCTATACAGCAAAAAGTATGTGCAATAATTGCAAATCATAATTAGCCACTGTTTTTCAAATCACATTAAAAAAACAAATCTGGATTTAATATTTGTTTCAAACTAAATGTACAAAACTTCGAAAAGATTGAAAATAAAATCATATTTTCCACTTGAAAGTTCGGCCAAGTAAAATAATTATTGGCTACTTACAAATCACACTACCTGTGAACGAGCTTCAATATTTGGAGAATGACAATATCTCTATTCCTTACTAATATTCAACACATATAAATACACATAAAATCCTTTCGTTACTTATTACCTACTTTTCACACGTTGGGTGAGATACTTGTTCTTCACAGGCTCTAATTCGAGTTGTTTACAAAATCAAACATGTTTTCTTACCAACTATAAACCGGATGTAGTAAACTAAACAAGGGACATAACTTTGTATGGAAAAGTATGATTTGAATGTGCAACATGGTGCGGTATTAATTCCTAATTCTTTGAGCGTACAAAATTACATAAATTTTGCGATGATATATGGTCGTACACTATTTACTTCAAACTTTTCTTTTTAGAATCTTTGCAATGTCGATATAAGTTTTAGAGATTTTCTACTGGTAACTTGTAATTTCAAAGAAATGTCCGAAAGTCAGTTTAGAAAATTATTCGAAAATCAATAAATGTTATCAAATTTGTATTAATATTTACCGTAATTGATAAAAAGTAAGTTTGGTGAAGATTACACCTGACAATTTATATACAACATGAAAAACTGTTTAAAATAAAAAAAATATACTATCAAATACGATAATTCATAAACATTTACATTGCAAAATGTAAATACAATTTTATGATAAAAAAAAAGTAATTTTAAAACAATCATATACAACAAAGTAGAAAAATGAAAAGTAATGGCTCACCTGTAAAAACATGATGGAGACAGTTGGTTACCAGTTTACTTCTTTATTCGTCAACTCCCAGCTCTAGGTAGCCAACAGGTAACCTTATTGAAAACTGCCCCTCCATCAGGTGAGGTCCCTGACAGGGAGATTTACTGTTTTTGTTAACTGGCATTATTTAATTATCCCATGCTTGACCTCATACAAACTGCGTGTCCAGTCTGACCATGCGTCAGATTTTAGCGTGGGTTACGGACAATGAAACGGGTAGGATTATAACTATGACCTAATGACACCTGAGCCTTAATTGTCATTTGGCACTTGCCTTAATTCTCTGACAAAGACCGGACGAGACCATATAAACACTGGACATATATTACACTGTTACATAGACAAGAGTAAGGAATGTCAGGTTCGTTTCGTCTGTTTTAATGAGTTCATTATACAGGAAAACAGTTTTACAAAATTACGCTTCCCTGGTGGTATTTGAGAAGCGGAGCACTGGTATTGTCCAAGGAACAGTCTCGTGGCTTAGTACTTCAAATGGACATCAGCTTGATTCCGGATAGTACCTTTCGTTGGACACCTTTCTACCAGCACTCTGGACCTGTTGTGGGCACCTCCCTACCAGCACTGATTTAGCTTGGTCGGGGCGCCTTATTTATAGCATTCGGGAATTGCGTCGTGGAATTCCCATTACAATGAAAGCCAGTTTGACCGATGGACTTAATCCATTCCTTAAACTCTGGGGGGTCCCCTCAAATGGTTTTACTATCTGCGCGACACTTTGTACTGTCATAGCAGTGTTCATACTACCCATCTGTACCGACAAACCCTGGATAATAGCCCCCATTGCATCTTGGTCAGCCATTTTGAAATTTCAGGTAAAAATTCAGTTCAAGCTACTTACCCAACTATCTTTGGCGCTCAGTCCCAGCTTTCTAAGAAGTCTGTAGACGTTATCTGGCAGGACTGTGATTCTGGCAAGGTGGCGAGTTTTGATTCCGGGCAGGCGGCGTTGGCAGACTAAGGTCTTGGTCGTCCTAATGTTGGTTTGGCGGGGAGAACTGGCGTTGTTTTTGGCTTTTCTTACAGACGATATCGACAAACCGTACCTCTTCCAAGTTGATTCTGTTATGTTCTGTTATGATTCCTGTATAGTTTGAGCAAATCCTGAAATTGACGAATCCTGGTCACGGCACCAAATCAAGCCTATATAACACTGTTATATAGACAAGAGTAAGGAATGTCAGGTTCGTTTCGTCTGTTTTAATGAGTTCATTATACAGGAAAACAGTTTTACAAAATTACGCTTCCCTGGTGGTATTTGAGAAGCGGAGCACTGGTATTGTCCAAGGAACAGTCTCGTGGCTTAGTACTTCAAATGGACATCAGCTTGATTCCGGATAGTACCTTTCGTTGGACACCTTTCTACCAGCACTCTGGACCTGTTGTGGGCAACTCCCTACAAGCACTGATTTAGCTTGGTCGGGGCGCCTTATTTATAGCATTCGGGAATTGCGTCGTGGAATTCCCATTACAATGAAAGCCAGTTTGACCGATGGCCAAAGTGGTCTTAGTTGACTTGACCGATGGTCAAAGTGGTCACAGCTTGCAGCGTATATACAATTTATAAATGTGATTTATAAATGTACACATTAAATGGACATAGTGTGTATCAATTATGGAATACAAATACACAATCAATTATAACAATTACTGGTTATGAAATTTTTACCCTTATTTTGTTACATTCCTCCATCAACCCATGAGGATGAATCTGCTGGTGACTTTTTAACAAAATAAGATAACTATAATAATCACACACAGTTTATAAACATGTCCCAACACCATTCACTAGGTTCCTCACATTGTAGGTTATAAAGTTTTCAATTTCCATCACCATTTCATATAACAGTTCCATAAGCCGCACAGTGTCCATAATTTCGTCACACAGACTGTTTATCAACATGACCTTTGCCTTTAACCGAGGCTCAAGGTCAAGCACGTACACTGGATTGTGTACTCATCCATATTTTGTGTCGAATAGCTGAGGGCAGTAACCGTGCCCCTGTAACGGAGAGGTT